ATAGTTTCTTTGATGACTTGCTTGACTACATATAGCCGCTCATTTCTTCGTTTTCTATACGTCCACTTGAGCCCTGAGTAATGAAGCTTACTCCTGAGAAGGTAGCTCCCATGGCTCTGGAGAACCGTGACGTTGTCCTTCTTGCATCGAGAAGGATTTCGCGTGACCATTTTAGCTTATTTTACTTCTTGTTCCCTAGCTTGTCCTCCTCGTTTTCATAAATATCACCTCACCTGTGACTCGAGTCCTGCAAAGTACTCAAATAAAGCACAAATCGGTCAAGCGAGGAAGTATAAGGGCTGAGGGGGATTCGAAGGTCTCTCGTGGTGAAGGTACTGCCGTACTTCCATAATATTTTTCTCTAAAGAGGAGAGCGAAATCTCCATAGGAGAATGCTCGAGCGGGCGAACTTGTCCCATTCCTGCGAAGAGGGGGTCCCTCAAAACAAAATCTTATTTCGCGTTTTGACGAGTCCATTAGGCGCGTACTTATGGTTTCCCCTGGAAAATTTCAAGTTGTTATTTCCAACTTCACCAGGTGGTTCAGAAAATATTCAAAAGCATAAAGCTGGCCTTACGCCCACTATTATTAAAGGAATGAGAGGATTTTGTGAGCTTATCTGAATTGTTTTGTGTTCTCAGATACAGTTCTGCTTCCTTTTTGTGTTATTAATTTTCAACATTTCCGGGTCACACTTTCAGAAATCTTGTCCAATCAAGAAGGTCCTAAAGTACGGTTCAATTTTTCTCATTTCGAAACCTTGTTACTTCATTAAGCCAACGTTTCAACGTTCCAACGCTTTGAGCCATGTTTAGGCCTTTGACAAGGACGGGAATGCTGAAACGCTGGCAGAATTAAGTATGAATTCGCTCAACATAACGTGACAGAAGCACTGTAGCACAACACTATCGAGCAAGCCGAATGCACCATAGAACAATCCCTTTTTGGGTTGGCCATGCATTTCGTTTCACCTCAAGACTTTCCAACACAATTAAGCTTACGCAGATCGACTATGTACAAGCCGTGCTTTTATCCTATCGAGCACTAGGCGGTTGACACGATAACTCCTAAAGATGAGGAGGATTAGTATGTCTGGCAGGACAGATCTCCGCGCGTCTGGCGCCTTAGGGAAGGTGCCCTTATAATGCCCTATCGAGCTGCAGCAGATCGACCTGGACGCCCAGTGCACCCGCCGCCCACAAGTGGACGACGTGTCTGTTTGTATCGCTTCATTTGCGTAGTAAAATATGAAGTGAAGGGATTGACCGTATCAGTTACTGGCAAGATGCTTGCGGGAAACTCGTCCGAACTTGCTTTTTGAGTCATTAAGAACGAAGGCTTTTCTTCGCAGGTTTTTGACCGTTTCACTTCGTTTTTCGCCATTTTCCCCACTATATAGCACCCTGCTAGCATTTTAGGCCGAGTACCAAATTGTCATAGCCATATGCCTTTAAAGGTCTGCTCCCTGGTTCACACGCAATAACCCTACACTAAATAACTTCTGCCCCCTATGGCACCTCAGCTAAAACTGGCCATAGAAATAAAAAACTTTCAAGGTATTTATCCGAGTTCGGGATCTCCAAGGTGCACATGTCCGCTCGTGTGACGATGACGACGACCCGTCAGGAGTCACAAACGCAAAGACAGAATGTCCGTGGATGGGTACTCTCGCATGCCGCTCACATGGTCGTTTGGATGAGAAGCCTCTCCACCGATATACGGTAGCCTAGGGTGGAATGCCTTGCTTGGGATGGATGTCAATTCCCGATTGAACATCATCACGTGTATCATGAATATGCATGCGGTTACATA